ATTACAGATTCTTCCTTCGATTTTTATTAAGAAAATAAAGTCGAGATAAATTACGGATGGCTATTAGGAACAATGGGAGATATTTTTTATCCATTTTTATTTATTTACTAATATAGGAAAAATTGAATATATTTTGGACTTTCACAACTTCATATTTGTTACTTTGTGTCGTAGCGCTTACTAATGACAATGATTAGTAACTTTGCCCCAGGTGATTACGATTATCTCGAATCTGACTTTCGAAGGACACCCCATGTCCTCATGTCATTCTAACCTAATTAAAATTATTATTAAAAATATTTTTTTATCAAAAGAACAAAGATAACGGCAATAATTATCAAACTCTCCTATCAAATCGTTACAATTGCATTGAGTCAGATCATCACGATGCGCCCATATTGTTGTCCTTGTGTCATGCTAACATAGAAATGAGTTGCCAGAACTCTTGTGCGACCGTTACACTTGCAGTAAATCCGATCATCACCGAATTCTTCTTATTGCTAATTTTGTGACGTATTAATCTAAACTTATTAAATAATTACAGCAAAGATTAATAAGTTCTCCTCTCAAATCATTCTAATTGCAGTTTGTCAGATTTTCACTGAATGCCCTATACTGTTGTCCTTGTGTCGTACATTAAATCAGCAATGATTAAAAGCCCCCCCACCAAATTCATTATGATTGTATTGTGTCCGATTTTTACTGAGTTCTCAATTCTTCTGCCCTTGTGTATTACTAGCCTAAACTTTCTAAAAAAAATAATACCACCAATGACTGGTAAGCTCACCTCTCATATTAAAATTACCTTTGAAGGCTCCATATTGGTGTCCTTGTGTCCTACATGTCCAGCAATGTTTCGGGAGGTCTCCAATCAGATCACAACAACTGCATTAACAGATTTTCTTGAGATGCTCCATATTGATGTTCTTGTGTCATACTAGTCTAAACTTATTAAATAATATTAACAATGTTTAGCAAGCGCTCATTTCAAACTCTTATAAATGCAATGGTTCGAACCATATTTTATCTTCCATGACTAAGTAAACTCCATTGACATTACCCAACTATTATCAACTATTAAGAGAGCATTACATGGGTGTGTAATGGTTAACAATCAAGTCCTAATTTAGTATTATTAGTCAAATATCAGTATAAAATGTCCATTGTCATGGATCAGTAGTTGACAAAATCGTCACTCAGGATATTCCAAACATCCTTGTGGTACACCGAGGAGTTTCATCAGTGATGTTTATTCCTGGTGTCAATGGCGGTATCGGACGTCTAAAAACATGAGACTGCCTCTCGCAGGTGGCCCCTGCTAGGAGCTTGCGTCGTATGAAATGAATCCACGAATCTTGAGCTGAACTATTTATGGGTTTGATTTTTTGGAGGGGGTTTTACAGTTTGCGGTCTACATTGACCTATTTAAATTTGCTGTCATCTCTTGTCATTTTTTTCCTCTCTGGTGAGTCGTCCGTTTTGGTCTTTTGTGGAAAAAATACCAGGACCTCCTCTTAGAAATGAAAAACGTCTATAGATTGGGTATTCGAGACCGTAGCCTCGGCCAAAAATTCCCCATAGACCCTGTATAAAACGGGGTCGGGTAGCTGTCTACCACCCCAGATGAGACTGGGTTCCTCTCTGCCCGAAGGCAGATAGTTCGACTAGCACAGCTGGAGACGAATCTCCAACTGCAGACCAACATACATTATTTACTATTGTATTTATGTAAATGGGTCATATCCATTATTGTCCGTAGGTATGCTACACCACTATCTATCTATCTATCTATCTATCTATCTATCTATCTATCTATCTGTTGTAACCTAGGGAAGCCTATTGAATAGAATAATCAAACGAAGGTTGGTAATGAGCAATGATACTTAGGAAAAGAACAATACATATAAGATTCGCCAGCGGCGCGAAGATGAGATCAACTGTTAGAAGTGAGTCAAGTGAATTCCACAATGAATCTCCAACTGCAGACCAACATACAGTATTTACTACTGCATTTATATGAATGGGAACTTACCCATTATCGTTTGTAGGTATGCTACAACAAACAACTTGATCTCTCATTGCTTGGTTTGGACGGTATTTAATCCCATGAACATATCTCCTGGATTTTGCATGCAAATTTCAGGTGTCAAGACGAAGATGGTTTTCATACATACGTACCAGTGAGGATCGAACTTGCTACAAAGTCGTAACTGATCTAGTGAGACAGGTTTGCTAGCTATTGCACAAAGTGGAAGTGGCCATCGAAGAATTCAAATAACTTATGTCTAAAAAAAGCGCAGCTATTTAAATATAAATATAGTTTATTTTTGCACATAAATAATAAAGGAATTGAACGCTGGTTAGCATTAGTAGAATTGATACGATACATCCAGTCAAATGCAAATGGCTGACGCTGTTACTTCCGTTTTTTTTTCTTTAATACCCAAAATGCACAGCTAAGAACATTAACTTAAAAAGCATAGAGCCAACAACTAATCAAATGGCATCAGATACGCGAAGTTAAGTGTCTACTGTGCTCTTAAGGAAGTGGTTGACAAACGGTGGAGCAGAAGAGGATAGGGTGTGAGGTGGATTGAGTGAAAGACAATCAAAGATTTAGAAACAGTTTTAAAAAATTCATATGCCAAAAATAAATATGACGAAAAAATTTGAAATATTATTTTGGATTATTCGTAATTGCATGCATGAATTCCAGTATAAATTGTTATATATAATTATTGGCCGATTTTATCATTGTGATATTTTTATATTATATCAACTATTAAGAATATTGTAATTAGGCTCCGTGAATTGAAGGAGAGAGTTATCAATGATAATGTTCTGACTTTGAATCCACAGTTATCTCCCTTTAACCATTTTCTGTTATTTTTTTTATTTATAAATGTAATTTTTATCACAGAAAATCTGGTGTGACGAAAGTGAATATTCATTCCGAAAATGCTGCCCAAAGGAAGCCTTAAATTAAATAAAAGTAGGGTGGTTTCAAAAAAGAAATTTGGAGTAATTTTTAACTGAATATAATGATACTGTAGTGTTTGAGGTTAAGTTTTCATTATCTGGTTAAGGCTAAAAAAAAAAAACAGTAATATTCAAGAACAGTTATTCTTGTTACGATCTGTTGCCTAAAACAACAAGCCAAATGGATTTGACCAGTACGTCACATAATCCAGGGAATCTTACCAACGAATCAAGTTTGTAGCTATAAGAAATAAAATAGCTTACCCAAACAATGTTCCGGGTGGCTGAAAGGAATGTTTTTGAAATGCGAAAAGAAGACTTTCACGGTTCTATCACGTTGGCGTACGAAAAGAAATATGATCCACTAAGTGTCTTAGATTCCCAGGCAAGAGCCCGTAAAAGAAATAAAATAAATGAAAACAAAGGAAAGTAGTGTTGAGTGTGATAGGGAATGATGGGATACACGAGAATTTCGACAGTATTTTCTGCGAAAGGTTTAAGAAGTCATCGGAAATACGTTGAAAAAAAAATATTTATATACACACATACACAGAAACACACACACACACACACACACACATATATATATATATATATATATATAGAGAGAGAGAGATAGATAGATAGATAGATAGATAGATAGAGAGAGAGAGAGAAATACTGACATAGATAGATAGATAGATAGATAGAGAGAGAAAAACATGACACATAGATAGATAGATAGAGAGAGAGAAAATGACATAGATACTGATACATAGATAGATAGATAGAGAGAAATACTGATAGATAGATGGATGAGAGAGAGAAATGCTGACATAGATAGATAGAGAGAGAGAGAGAATAGCTGACATAGATAGATAGATAGATAGATAGATGAGATGAGAGAGAAATACTGACATAGATAGATGGATGAGAGATGGAGAGAGAGAGAAATACTGACATAGATGGATAGATGGAGAGAGAAATACTGACAGGGATAGATAGATGGAGAGAAATGCTGACATAGATGGATGGATGGGGGGAGAGAAATACTGACATAGATAGATAGATAGATGAGAGAAATACTGACATAGATGGATAGATAGAGATGGAGAGAGAGAGAGAGAACACTGACATAGATGGATGGATATATAGGGAGAGATGCTGACATAGATAGATGGATAAAGAGGAGAGAGAAATACTGACATAGATAGATGGATGGAAATAGAGACATAGATAGATGATGGGATAGATGAGAGAGAGAGAGAAATACTGACATGGATAGATAGATGGATAGATAGATAGATAGAGAGAGAGAGAGAGAGAGAGAGAAATACTGACATAGATAGATAGATAGATAGATAGTTAGATAGATATCATTTGTATGCGATACATTTCGAATTCTTGTTGCTTTTTCCCGTGTTCAAACCTGTCGATTGTTGATAACCATCAATAACGTGTGCTTCGACTGCACTACGTCAGCTTCAGATACACACACACACACACACACACACACACACACACACACATGCACACACGCACAAAAACACACACACACATAAATACAGTATAGGCAAAAAGACAGGGGCTAACTTTGGATTTCGAAGAATCGACAGAAATTTGAGTAATCTGTGAGTTCAGTTCAGGTCAGGTAAAGGTTATCTAACTGAGGGTTTTATTAACTATTCCATAGTAATAATAAAATAACAAAAAAACAAAAAAAACAACGAAAAAACAATGCTGTATGACTTTAAAAATATATTAAAATTAAAACTGCGATAATATATCAAATCCAAAGTGTAGACCCAACAATATTCAGGAATCAAGTATTAATATAAACAAGTTTGAATGAAAAAGTCAGCAGGTAGAGTGTTATTCATTATAAATTTACAAATATAGGATAAGGTTTTGAAATATATAAGGAGTTGTGGATAAAAGGAAAGAAATCATATGTAGTTAAAGTGCATTCAAAATGCACAGTCATTATCAAGAACAGATGTGGCAGGGGAGGTGCGTAGTAATAAGATATCATCTATTTGCATCTTGGTAAATTGTAGAAAATGTATGTATGAAAGAATTTAGCGAAAAGTCATGTATGAAGTATATAGGGAGGACATGCATATATATATATAATGATACATAGGTATACATATATATGCATATATTAGGATATATATGCATATATTAGAATATATATATATATATATGTATGTGTGCGAGAATGTGTGTGCATGTGTGTGTATAATGAGTATAAATGCGTATGCATATATAATGAGTATATATAATAATATAAAAGGAATATAAATATGTATAAATACAATAAGTATATATAAGAATATATATATATATATAAAAGAATATATATATATATATCAGTATATATATAAAGTATATATATATATATATATCAGTATATATATATATATATATATCAGATATATATAAAAATACATATATATATATATATGAGCATATAAAAAAATACCTATATGATTATATATATTTATGTGTATAAGAATATATAAAAATATATATAAATATATATATATATATATATATATATATATATATATATATATATATATATATATAATCCGGTGTTATTATAGATATTTTTATTTTACAAAATTAAAATTAATTTATAATATATGTGTGTGTGTGTGTGTGTGTGTGTGTGTGTGTGTGTGTGTGTGTGTGTGTGTGTGTGTGTGTGTGGTAAATATGAGAAAAAATATATATATATATAAGCCTATATATTTTCTCCGATTTACTCACATATATATGTTTCTGGATATTTTATATATATATATATTTGTATATATATATATATATATATATATATATATATATATATATATATATATATATATATATATATATATATATATATATATATGTACATACATTTATAAATACATATATATATACGGTGTCTATATATATAATAGCATCTTCACATATATATTGTTTCTTTGTATATATAAAATATATATATATATATATATATATATATATATATATATATATATATATATATATATATATAATATTTGACAAATTGATTTATTCAAATATTTTTTTTCGCTACACAGTTCTAACCATCTTTCAATAATGGAAGCTAAAAGTTACGAATTTAATTTTGTAATTAAATTAAAGACATTAGTTCCATTTCATCCTCAAGCGAATTTTGGAGTAACTTTTAAAATTACTGGGTTTTAAAGACACAGCTAAAATCATAATTCACATTTGCAAGGCTACAGATAAATCCACTTCCACTCGAGACAAGGGGTGTCTTCATGTTCATTATGTCTGTATTTTGATGTATCCGTTATTAGATATGTTTTGGTAGGGGGTAGGGATGTATTTTTCAAATGAAATCTGACATATGTTGAATGTATGTCGTCTGGATTTGTTAAAAATTTTATTGTTAACGGCAAAAATTCTTACGACATTTTTTTTCTATTTGTATATTTAAAGATTTTTGGGAGGTGTTTAGGTTAGAATACGTTTTATTTAACTACGATTTGAAATATTTTAATTTTTATTCTACTATATTTTTTAAGAACAATTAAATGTATTAGAATCCCTTAGTTTCTATTAGGTTTTTTTTTTTTTTTTTACGAATTGGTCAAATCCAAACTCAAACAAAAACATTGTTTTCAATTGTTATGAGTCTACCGATTGAATAGAATTTTATTATAAATAATTGTCTTGTAAATGGAATTTTTAAAGCATTCTGAATGTAAAAATAAAGAAAAAAAGTGTGCAAGACAATAAGAAACACTACATGCCAAAAAAAAAAGTGAAGTTTTATTGAAATCGGTTGAAAAAATGTAGATAGCCTTTCTGTAATCTTTTAGTTTTACAATTTATGATTTTTACTTATTAAATACAGTAATAAAAATTGCATATTTTGCTTGTGGTGATTCATAATTAAATTCTGATTTGAATATATTTTCCACTCGTTGTTTCTAATACAAAAAATATTAATTTTATTTGGGTTTATTAATTATGATCTAACAAATCTTATTCATTTATTAGCCTTTCTGTAATATAATCTTTTACAATTTATGATTTTTACTTATTGAATACAGTAAAAAAATTGGACATCATGTGTATTTAAAGTAGTTTCCCGTTCGGTTATTATTTTTAGTTAGGACTTGTGTATGTTTAGATTTCATTATCTTTCCCTAAAGATAAAGAATTTATTCCGATGTTTGTGTTCGTACAATCAGTAGAGATCGTTAGATTATTGTTTAAAGTTGACGGACACGCATGTCTTAATTAGTTTTTTTTTATTTTTATTTTATTTTTTACGAATTGGTCAAACCCAAACTCAAACAAAATGTGGCACCATGCATACCTGACGAGCTGAGAGAAATATTCATAGATATATGATTTGTTTTTTACGGTTTATCAACCATTTAATAATTATTTAAGGCCGAAAAATATTTTGGGTTTTAAGAATAATTCTTTCTTTACATTCAAGCGATCTGGGAGAAGGAAAGGGAAAACGAAGACGAAAGAAAGAAAAAATAATACGAAAACAGGTCATGGGCGAGCGCACACATGCACGGCTGACAGATAGCAGGTGTCGAAAAATATTCAGGTCACCTGCAAACAAGCATCTGACCGATTTCCGCGGATCCGCGAAAAATGGAAGTTTGTTATCAATTGGTTGTCACCCAAGGGAAAAGAAAGAAGGGAGGAAAAGAAGAAACGAAGTTTAGGGACAATGAAAATATTGATAAGTAACAAGTGGGAAAGTGTGCCATTGGAATGATAGTAAAGGTCTAAGTGGGTGTGGAAGTGTATCTAAGGATATGAAGACAAACCATTAATACGAAAACATAGACAGTCTTCAGAATTAGAAAAAGCCCACACAAGGTGTTGTCACTGGCAAAATTTTTTTGACAAAATAAATATTTTTGTTATCAGACCTACGAGCGGAGGGAAAATGAAATATTTTTATTCCGTTTCAGAAACGCCAACGAGTCTGAGAATTCCTTTCTTAGATCATATCCAATTAGCGATAAACTGCTTGACAAATACCACGTGTTAAAAAGCCGAGAGTGTCATCTCAGTCGCTCATGATAAGGGCGATTTAAATTAATATTTTTGTTTTTTTAGCAAGGTATTTCTTTCCCAAAACAAAGCCACGGATTGTCCACGCCCGACTAAGACGTCATTGGCTAAATAAGATCACATGACACACGAAGGAGGAGGAAAGATGCCGACCAGGACCTAATTGGCCGAGCGGTCACGTGACGCACGAGGAGAATCGGTCGACGCCCTGTCAGTGTAAGTGTGAAAGCCGATACGAAGGGTGGGGAAGCGGGTACACGCCCTCAGAGGCACATTAAGGGCGTGGGGTGAGAGTGAGTTACCGAAAATGGAAAAATGAATGAAAAATCCCTAACCAGAAATAAGAAGGGTGGATACGTATTTAGAATTATCGAAAAACCCCTGGCGCCGACAGACCCACCCCAGTTTTGACTGCGTCAATAAAAAGCGAGACCCCAACCGACAGAATTGAGTTTCAGCCGCGGACGGCAAGCGGAGTGGAACCGCGGATGGCGGCCCGAATTCGGTCGCCCACTTTTGCGGGCAAGAGAGGCCAGTTCGTTTGGCCTAAGTGAAGAAGTTCGTCCGACCCAAGCCGAAGAGAAGAAGTTAGTTCGCGCACCGGATGCAGAGATGAGTGACCAGTAATTCAGACTCTGGCGAGAAGTTAATTCGCGCACCGGAGGCGGAGATAAGTGACCAGTAATTCAGACTCTGGCGAGAAGAAGTTAATTCGCGCACCGGAGGCGGAGATGAGTGACCAGTAATTCAGACTCTGGAGAGAAGTTCAGTTCGTTCGACCCAAGCCGGAGAGAAGTAGTCAGATTGAGCCGCGGACCCTGGCGAAGTTTTGAACCTTGGACGACAAGCAGAGACGAGCGCCCAGTGTTGAAACCGCGTCAAGATAGCTGACCAAGATTCACACACTTCTGGACTCTTCTTTAACCAAGAACAAGTAGTTTGAAGAGCGACTTAGAATCAGACCACAGAAATAAGTTTTTCGACTTTCGTCCAAAGACACCGAAACACAAATTTCTTAGAGAGCAGACAACTTGAAGCCTTAAATTTGCCTAGTAAAAGCGTCGTGCCACAATCCACAGAACGGGTCGGGAAGTAGACATAGTCCTATGTACCGAGCAAATAGACATAAAAAGTTTGTTACCTTTTTCTTTGATACTTTGGACTTTGTGAGTTTTTAATTTTATTTTCTTTTATACATAATTGTGTGTTATCACCCCCGTTGAACTCAACTTGCATTACGGCCCCAACCCCTGTTTGATCTCGTCTGTCTAAGACTGGAGATCAGTGCAGTTACCATGGTAACCAGGCGTTGGAAACAGGTTGGGAACGGCGAGGCTGGTATCAATCTAACCAAAGGGTTAGAGCGTCACGTTTGGAGCAGCGAGGAGCGAGCCGCTGACGCCGCGGCGAAGACGTCACAATTGGTGCTGTCCGTGACCAGGATATCAGAGCCTGGGGAGCACGTGACGTCACAGTTGGCGCCGCGACCAGGATCGAACGACACAGTCGACGCTGTGACCGGGGGACGACGTCACAAAAAACTTTGTTTTCAATCGTTATGATCTACTGATTGAATAGAATTTTATTATAAATAATTGTCTTGTAAATGGAATTTTTAAAACGCATTCTGAATGTTAAAAATAAAAGAAAAAAAGTGTGCAAGACAATAAAAACACTACCCCCCAAAGTGATTATGTTTTATCGGCTGAAAAATATAGAAATCCGCTCCCATATTTAAAAAAACACACAAACAACCCGATGTGAGTTGTCCCCTTCCATTTTACGATGTCTCTTAATCGTGTTTTCTGAATTGATTTTGTGCAAAAACAATTATATTTTTCCCATTTTTGGCGCTAAGAACCACCAAAGGTAATTTTATGTAGTCCTGTGAAGTTTTGTTGAAATCGGTTAAAAAATGTAGGAAATCCGATCCAATATATAAACGTTACAGACACAC